CCGTCCTCCCCCGGGAGCCCGGCGCTCGGAGCCGCGCGGAGGTGCCCGGCCCTCTATAAGGCCGAGGGGGCGGGGCGCCCGCGGGCGCCGGGGTGGGAAGTGCGGCGGGAGGAGGATGGGGAAGCGCCAGAAAGTTCCACTCGGGTGCTGCCTTCCCGTCCCCTGGATCCCCTGCAGGATTCCTCTCCAAATGTCCCCTGTTCCCAGCCGACGGGATGCGCTTCTGCTCCCGCAGAAGAGAACGCATGGGAGGCGGCCAGCTGAGAAGCCTCACCCAGCTTCCCTTACCCAGGGCAAACTGCCCAGGCATATCTGATCACAGGCCCTCCTCTTCCTCTTAATTCTCTGGGAAAGGGTCTTATGTCTTTCTTTGAGAAGTCTAAATCACCTGTCCTCGAGCTCAGTGCATGAACTTTTTTTTTCTTTCTACCTTTCTACTTGTAGAGGGACCACGAGCAAGGTGCCCTGTCTCGGAAGGTGTACTGACACTTTAAGACACTAATTCTCTACAGTTTCTGTGAGATAGGGCTTTCAGGAAACTAAAACCATGAAATAACAATGGTTAAATTTGATAGCAAGGAAATGCTATCACCTTCCACCTAACCTGTTCCTAACTCCCTCCAAAACAGTCAGCCCCAAAATGACTGGAGACAAATGGCAGCTACACGCAAATATATGGCAGTGGAATCAACCGCTGGTGGCCCATGGGAACTGCGGTGAGAGGAAGGTATTCTCTTACAAACCCCTCCTATCCTCTTCTGGGGCTCCTTCCCATACTGTTAGCACTCAGAACTATTGGAGTATTCTGAAGGCCCGAAACCACATGAAAAAGTCTTGCTTGAAATTTGATCATGGCACACAACATTAAAAAAAGCAAACAGAGTGGCTTAGTAACATCTTTGTTAAACCTGTATTTTCTAGTTACACATGTTTGCACAGATGCTTTTTTCTCTTTTATCAAAGAAATTCTGCAAGGTACAACTATCACTTCAAGATGCTGTGACTCCCGTTGGCGCTATGATGGCAGACATCATATGTGGTGGGTTTGTAGCTAACCCAAAGGCCACACCTCTCTGACCATTCTAAGCCACCACTTTGGGAGAAAGATGGGCAATTTACAAACTCGGAAAATCGGCTAAAGGCCAGCATTGAGTTGATTCTGACTCAATGACAATGATTTGAATGATTACTACAGTAAAATCTGCAAAAGCTAAAACCATTGTAAGGCAAAAACTGGTTGAGAAAGGAAAACAGAAATATTTCCTACAACTTGAGAATGACAGAAAAGAGGTAAGATTGAAACCTGTCAGAGGCAGTCAACTTTGGGGACCCAGCAAAATAAAGCAGCCCCTTAAAATTTTGACTCTCCCCGGTTCCACTGTACTATTCTTATTATTTTAAATTTGTGTTGGCCATGCGACTCCTCACCACTAAGCCACCAGAGCTCTCTAGTGGTGAGATTAATTCCCAAAGCCAGAGGAGTTTAGTTTGGAGTCACTTCACTTTGCTCAGAAAGTGAAAATACGTTTGAAAACGTTTACAACCTTCATCTTTCTTCACATTTAAGAAAGCCGGTCTAATCACATAGCAAAAGTGCAGTACCCAATCTCACATTGATTTTCAGTTTCTAGGTCACTTTCTTTTTCTGGCTTTAGTTGAAATGCTGTTTGGGTGTCAGTACGTGACAGTCAAGGAGAATGCAGTATGTCTCCCTGCATTCTTTGTTTCTATGCCATTGTTTTATGTACCATGGACTGCCAAGAGAATAAACAGGTTTATGCTGGAAAGGGGGAAACCAACGTGCTTGCTGGGGCTAAGGATTTTGAAGCTACACCTCACATACTTTGGGCACGTGGCTAGAATGGACCATTCTTTGAAGAAAGACATCATGCTTGGAAGGGCGGGAAGACAGTGCAGGAGAGGAAGACCCAGGATGAGATGGATTGATAAAGTAACCAGGCAATGGAGGAAGGTGTGTTGGAGACAGTGGGACTAGCCTAGGACAGGGCAAGGTTCAAAGAGCTGTTGTGAGTCGCAGTCAACGCAATGACACATAACATCAGAGTTGTAAAAATACATATATTATGATGGGGGTTTTTTTCCTGGTCCCTGGGTGGTGGAAATGGTTAATATATTTAAGTTACTACCTGGAAGATTATCAGTTTAACTCCAACCAGGACCACCCAGGAATAAAAGGCCTGAGAACCAACTTCTGAAAAACCAACCATCAGAAATTCTATGGAGAACACCTCTACTCTGAGTCATCCTCTACTCTAGCAATTGGTGATTATATAGTTTTTAAAGGAGAAGCACTAAAAAATATAACTCAAATTCCATCTTAACACGTGTATAAAAATAACACTAATTTCCCTTTGTCTTGTCATTAGAATAAAGAACCAACTTTGGACTTTTAAACTCCGTATTTTATGTCATGTTGTTGAGAATGGCGGCTAGGAAGGAATACTGGACTGCTTTTTAAATCTGTTTTGGCAGTGGACTGCTTTAAATCACCAAATGTATGGCTTATAAGTTGGAATTAATCTCAAATCAGTATTTAAGTGAAAAGTTGTTCTAGAGTTGTATGACTTGACAAGTAAAATAATATTCGGTGTTATTTTCAGATTCTCAGGCAAAAGTTTATACAAAGCATTTAGATTAAGATACACATCAAAATTTAATTCTTCCACAATTGAATTCTAGTGCAATGATAGTAGTTCTTGTTTGTGCAAATGACTGTGTGCATGGCTACTAATGATTGACAGTCTGAAACCAGTAGCACCTGGACGAAAGGGATGACATGGTGCTTCTGAATAGTCACAACCATGAAAATCCTTTGGGAGAGCAGCTCTTATCTGCAACACATGGGTTGCCATGAGTTGAAAACCACTCAAAAGCAACTAGCTAGTTTCTTTGTGTTTGGTTTGGTTTGGTTTTTGTTAATGCAATGGTATCTTTAATTTACAAATTTAAGATCATTTTGTGATTCACATAGCACAAAAAAAGTGTGAAACTGTTATCACTCTAGTTACATTAAAAGTTATTCTCATCTACAACCAGGAGAAGACAAAATAGATGAATGGGACCTAAGAATCAAATCCCTATGCACATCCAAAAACTTCTCCAACAGGGTAAAAAGGGAAGCCACCGACTGGGAAAAAGTATTTGGTAATGACATGTCAGATAAGGGATTTATAGCTAGAATTTATAAAATACTTGAGTATCACAACAAGATAAAGGTAAATAATCCGATTGAAAAATGGCCACAGGATATGAACAGACACTTCCCCAAAGAAGACATTCAGATGGCCAACAAGCATATGAAGAAATGTTCAAAATCCCTAGCTCTAAGAGAGATGCAAATCAAAACAACTATGAGATATTTCATCCCAGTCAGAATAGCAAAATTTAACAGAACAGCAAGCAACAAATGCTGGTGAGGTTGTGGAGAAACTGGAATCCTTATTCACTGTTGGTGGGAGTGTAAAATGGTGCAACCACTGTGGAAGGCGGTATGGCATTTTCTCAAAAAGTTGCAAATAGAGATACCATTTGACCCAGCAATTCCACTACTGGGAATATATCCCAAAGAGACCATAACTGACATCCAAGCAGATATATGCACACCTATGTTTATCGCAGCTTTGTTCACAATACAAAGAGCTAGAAACAACCCAGGTGCCCATCAACAAATGAATGGATAGAGAAGCTGTGGTTTATTCACACAATGGAATACTATGCTGCATTGAAAAACAAGGAACTCATTCAGTATTATTCAAAATGGGTGAGCCTGGAGGACATTATGATGAGTGAAATATCTCAGTCACAAAAGGACAAATATTGCATGGTGCCACTGCTGTAAAATGGGACTGATATCAGGGTTGGGGTAAGACTGAGAAAAAAAAATGGATAAATTGTGTATACTGCACTGAAACAGATGAGGGAGATAATAATTTAAAAGTGCTGTGTGATAGGGTATTATGGTTATCACAAGAGTCCACAATTAAGGTTGCATAGTGGAGTGTACTTGGGGCAATGGAAGGGGTGCGGGAGGATTGTGTACCAGGGACGGAGTGTTTGTTTTCCTTTTCAAAGAGAGGAGCGAGGGGGGATGTGGGGAGAGGGCTGGGCAGGGAAAGAAGTACAGCAATGAATGAATGGAAATCCAAAATCTCTGTAAATGTTCATTAAAATTATTAATAAAAAAATAAGTCGACTAAAAAAAGGTTATTCATATTTCACAAATATTTGACTTCTCTGAAGCACAAGCTGTAGCCAATTTGACTTCATCAGGTAGCAAGCATCAGGTCCTGTAAAGAATTGATAGCCGCATCTCCTGTTCAGTATACCAAAGCACTGAACCGTGTGGTGTTTGAAACCATTTGGTGAAATACTTTCCTTTGTTCAGAGTTTTGCTTCATTCTATTCCAAGTTGTCTAACTAGTAGTCGCCTTGTAAACAATTGTCTTTGGGGATCTGAGAGGAACAGTGTGAAGGATGCTGAAGGGGGTTGAATTCTGGTAGGCACTTCTTTGCTCTTAGCCCATTTTCCTCTTCACTTTAAGTTGGGAATATAAGGTTGAGGTTGAAATCAAAGGGATTCCATTTTCCTGACCTTCTTACCTTACCCTGGTGAGCACTTCTTGATGAGGGAATTGTTGTTATGTGCCATCGAGTCGCTTGCGACTCATAGCGACCCTATGTACAACAGACCTAAACTCCGCTCTATCCTGTGCCAATCTCACTGTCTCTGACACTCCCATCCCAATTATCCCAGTCACTGAATCAATCCGCCTCATAGAGGGCCTTCCTCTCCTACAGAAAAATTTTAATTGTGTTAATCTAAGACAACAGCATCCTCTGGTGGCCAAACGATTAATAACAGTCTATATTAAAGAGCGTTTGGAAGAACCCAATGTATGATTTAGGGAGTTTCTGCTTTATTTTCTAGATGTCTGCTCACTGATACAGACATAACTGTGGTCATTTTGTTTTCTACATATTGCACAAACTGGAATTTCTGATTAATATGTACGACAATGGAGAGTTCAAGCTTTAGAACAAAAAATTTCAATACTACATATGTGTATGTCCAATTATACTTCCTAAAATATAAAAGTGCATATTAACCCATTTTATACTTAAATTCTTCCTATAAACTAACTCTACAAATTATTTAACTCAGTTTTCTTGTATCATATTTTCAAACTGACAGCACATATAGTTAGTAAGTAGAGATTAATTTACTTCTACTGAGTATCTTGCTATTTGCTGCAGAGTCAATTCCGACAATGATTTCATGTGTGCATGGAT